TCCTTACATTATATACTGTCTGCAAAATTATCCTACAGTGGATTATAATTTTCCAAACATAGGTTTTGGTGAGAGAGACTGAATTGTAATGATTGATCTCTATGTTTACTTTTATGAAATGAGCTGTGCTCAAATATTATCAGTATGTGTATTTAAAAAAAAAACCCACAACTTAATTTTCTTACCAAGAATCATGTATTAGCAGAGGTGATCAGCACTGTTTGGGTTTGTTTTTCTGTAAAAAATATTGTTAAATACTGTGCTTGATTTTTTTCTCAACTTTTCCCTAAAATAATGAAGTATTGACAAGTGGATTTTTTGTCTAAAGAAATAGGTGGTTATTTAACACATATTTTCTACTAAAAACAAGCAAACAAATTGTTTAAGTCAAGAAAACAAAGAGATCTAAGCATTTAATCACATCTTTTTACAATTTATAATCAAACCAATCAAATTCATTTTATAAATTTTCTGTTATGAACCAGATAACACTCCTTAGTTCCTCCCCCCTGCATGGCAAAATACCTTCCTTGCCTTTAACTCCAGTCTGTCCCTTTCTGTGGGACAACTGTGCCAACTGACAAAGGGTTGGGGGATGTTTATACAGAAAACCAGTTCAGCTATTTGATGCCTATAGGCTTTCCAGAACAGGGAGAAGGCATTCATGTACCTAAATTCCTTGCTGGAAGAAAAATGTTTATTAAGCCTTCAGGTCAGATAATCCTGATGTGCCATTGAGATCCCTGATGGTTCAGGTTGCATACAAAGCAGGGAACTTTGTTGGGAGAAAAAAGATTGTGTGTGAACAATTTCTCCTGCATTTCTGTAGGCCTTGCCTTGGCATAGCTGGGTATAGACAGTAAAAAGAACTGTGTAGCTAACATGGCTTCAGCCTCTGAAACCAGAACAAAGGAGAATCAGTGCCAAGGTTCAGGTGGAGCTTCAAGAGGGTAAATGTGTGCCCTTATCTCACACAGACACCTGTTTTAATCCAATTAGCACTGGACAACAAAATATGTTTCTCTTATGTACCCAATGCTGTACAAGAAGAAGTCACGCGTTGGGGTGTAGAAGCAGTATATAAAGAGTATCCTTCTTGTAATAAATGGACATTTTGCCGACCATATTGACCTGTGAGCAATCTGTCACAATTCCCTCCGCCCATAGAACTTGACTGCTCCCTCCTGGCCAGCCCCTGCAGAAATCAAGGTGTGCAAAGACAGGGAATATGTGCTCAGGTCTCATCCTGGCATAGAGACAGAAATCCTGGAGGTAATCTCTCACAGCAGAAAGGCTGGGCAAGGTTCCCATAGTCCATGATGCAGCTATAACCTGAGATACCTACTTGAATCTTCCTTCTTCTGAACTTACTTCTCTTTCTAACCAAGGGCTAGATTTTATCATACTATAAAAGTATATATCCCATGATAGAAAGCTATGAGAAGTAAAATCATTCCCATGGAAATTAATCTGATATTTAGAGGATCCCAGTGAGAAGGATCAAGTTCATTATCCCATGCCCTCCCATTTCAGGAAGAACCAGCATGGAAAAGAGGTCATTGCAGAGGAGTGAATCATGACTTATGCCCCTCGATATCCTGTTTTAGTGATGGTGTAGAGGTACAGATGGATAGAGCTTTTGAGTGCCTGAAAGAATTATGTAATATATAACTGTGGTTCTATTTACTGTAATTAAAGGAATTTGATGTTGCAGGGTTAGACGGTTCCTTTCTGGGTTTAGTATGTGATACAATATATAATATTGAAACTATCATAAATGCAGATACTTCAATTCATAACTAATAATCAGTAAAACTCTACTTCTACGCATACATTATTTACTGAACCGTATTTATACAGTTAATTAATGTTTAAATACACTGCATAACAATTTCAGATACTTTGAATAGCATATGTTACATCCATTCTCCCTTTACACTCAGCGGAATCCCTTCCCTTTCCTATTAAACATCACTGTTCAGCAACTAAAGTAATGTCCAGACTGGTCCAGCTAAGGTCTATAGTCATATAGATAATAGCAACAATTGCTGGTTTAAATAACTATTTTAATTATAAAATTTTTAACTAACATTTTCTCTAAGAAATACTGAATACAGAGTTTGAAAGTCTGAGATTAAAAGATAATGTATTTTTTTAATTAATTTTTTTTTATAGGTCAGCAGGTTTCAGGCAAGTTGGCGGTTTCAGTCACCCAGTTTCTCAAGATGATGAAGGTCCTGAGGAATAAATGTAAATCTGCTAGACTGTTCTGGTTTTGACTCGTGTAGAGTTACTTTTTTCCACAGTAGCTGGTATGGGGCTGTGATTTGGATTTTTAATGAAAACAGGGTTGATAACATAGAGATGTTATTGTTATTGCTGAGCAGGTCTTGTACAGCATCAAGGCCTTTTCTGCTCCTCATGCTAACAGCGAAGGGACTGGGAGTGCACGAGGAGTTGGGAGAGGACACAGCCAGGACTGCTGACCCCTACTGACCATAGGGATACTCCATACCATATGGCATCATGCTCAGCATGTTGAGCTGGGGGAGGAAGAAGGGGATATTTGAAATTACGGTATTTGTCTTCCCAAGTCATTGTCACATGTGATGGACCCTGTTTTCCTGGGGATGGCTGAACACCAACCTGCCCAGGGGAAGGGGTGAATGAATTCCTTGTTTTGCTTTGCTTGCATGTGTGGCTTTTTCTTTAACTATTAAATTATTTTTATGTCAACCCTTGAGTTTTCTCTTTTTTATCCTTTTGATTTTCTCCCCTATCCCACTGGTGGAGAAGTGAGCAAGTGCTACGTGGTAGCTGATTGGGGTTAAACCACTGCATAAACTCACTTCAAAACAAGCAGATATAGTTCATCAGGGCATTTAGGCTCCTTTTCTGCTAAAGATTGAGGATCTTTGGTTGCAAGTCCATCTTCAGAGGAAAGTTCATCTTACTTTTTTTCAGTCAAGAAATCTATCATATCCATCAATCTATTAAAATATCAGCAGATTTTTCTATTGGAGCCAATAGAGTATTCACAATTTCCCCCTCCCCCTCGCCCCCCACTCCCCTGACTGGTTTATTCTCTTTGGCTAAGTCTGTACTTAAATTTTTATTCATAGAAGTAGCTGTCCTTCAAGAGCACATGAAATGGGCATGTATACATAATGAGAGGCACTGTAGATTTTTTATTTATTTGAACATTTATTCATTTCTCTGTTCATTCACTTTATTTGTTCATGATGTTATTCTTATGATTTCTACACTCATCCTGAATAATGTGGTCACAGAAAACTGCAGTTTAACGAAAGTATGCCAACATTTAAGCATATGAGTTGTCACTTTGAAGTCATGTATCAGGGGTCAGAGGGAACAATTTGGAAGCTAAATTATGAGCCAAATAAACTCTAATAAATTTTTCACATAACAGTCCCAACAGATTCATCAGCCAGTATTATTTAAAATAGCAGCACATATCTTAACATACTCGATATATTGTACAAGGAATGGAAGCACAGAAATTTTTGTGCTACAAAAAAGAATGTATCCTACTATCATAACCACATATTTGATGTACCTTCTCCATGACAAAATTATACAAGACAGTGGACCAGTAAATTACAATATTCAGATGCCTGCTGTGTTTCAGCTAGTTGAACACACCTTTGCTCACTCTACTAATCAGATGTTAAGCCCTTTAAATTGTGTTCTAGAGAAACACTTCTAAGACATAATTTGTCTAATTATCTACTGCTTTTCTACAGGAGATGAGAGACAGCTCAAACCACAAGGCAGTATAAGTGGTCTCGAGGAGAGTTTTACCACTGGTAGAGTTTGCTTGAAATGACTGAGTAGATGTTTCAGGCAACCCTTTTGTGACAGGACAGTAAAAAGTTGACGTGACATGTTTGATATAATTTCCTTTGGCAAATAATAGAAACCCTTTGAAAATGAAATAATTTCCACTTTCAAAACCAATCTGTTCAGAAGCTCTCTGTCCTTGAAGACAAGAGTCTTAAGAATTCACCATCTGGGCTGAATTCGTTGTATTCGTAGGGAATAATTCAGGCCATTTACATTAGTCATCTGCTACAGGAAAATATCCACGTATTATAATAGATATATATATATTCTACCAGTGACCCATGTAAGTTAGGTGCAGTCCTATCATGGAGGTAGGCATCAAGATTGAGTTCTGAAGGGCATTCCAGCATTAAGGGAAGATGTTTTAGGGTGAGAGAGTGTTAAGGCTTAAATGAATGCAAGCATACAATGATGAGGAGCCAAATCCAGCAGCAGTTAATTTCCCAAGCAGAGACAGTTCAATGGGGACAGAGACAGCTGCTAATATTTTTCTATTATTATTAATTATATTTTTAAAGAAACAAGAAACTGATTATTTGCAACCAAACACAGCTCTTGGTTAATCCTTTTTTTTTTTTTTTTAACTCTCCAAATTAACCTAAGAGCTTTTTTGTCAATCTGGGCAAATCTGGAAGAGATTTAGAAACAAATTCAGAGAATCTTTGATTATGATTTTCTGTATATGATTTAGTACTCTGCCTTCCTGTGCAAAATCAAATTAAAATAACTTTTACTTAATTTCAATATATCACAGCATCTTGGGAAGATATATACTTCTTGTGTCCATCAGAAACTTCTTGATGATGTGTGCAGCAACATCTCATGTCTCCCAAGTTGTTATGAATCAGGCAATATTCCTGGTGTGCTAACCAACAGTGAGAGATGATAATTCTGTTCATGTATTAGGGATTAATCTTCTACTGCAGTAAGGAATGTATCTAAAATGTACAAGATTCACCACACACACCAGCCTAGCACTTGTTAGAGTATACACACAGATGGCCAGCCTTGCCATGGAGCTACACTAGCAAAATAATAACACAAGAAATAATAACATACTACAAAGAGCTATAAGGGGGGAACACATACATAGAAATCTAATTCTGATATGGCTACATTAACAAGATAGCAACATAAGAAGTAGCAGAAATGAGAACTGATTGATAACAAAAAGGGGTCACTAACTTAAAGGAATTGCTGATGGAGCTAGAAATTACCAGTGCAAACATATCACAAACACTGAAGAGGTATAAAGGAGCAAAATTAGGGACAACAGGAAAAAGTAAGTAGGAACAGCCTGTTTATTTGGGAGTGGATGAGGGTGGTAAAAGGAAAAAATTGAGAAGTTAAAAAGGGAGAAAAAAGGAATGTAAACAGAAGTGTATCATTTAACTAGCTGTTTAGGGATATCTGTTGGGCAGTCTTCTGTTGATCCCTCTTGGAGAAGGAAAATAAATCTATTATTGATCTGATGATATGTGTGTCTGATGTTTTTCTGGGGTAAGTGGGGATACTTGAGGTGTTTTTTCTAAAACTGGTGAGGGAATAAATGAAGGAGATGTACCTTCTGGATCCCTTTCCCCACCCACAGCGTGGGGGAGCCCAGTTCTAGTTCCATCTCCATCTGATGAACCATTCCGACGTCTTGAGGGACAGGGAAAGGGAACTCCATCGACAGGGTTTTTCAGGCCCCGAGCCTGGAGGGGAGAGGTGCCCTCCCCTCCCCCCACCCACGTGGTCCCATGGCAGGCACAGAGACAGCACAGCGGCGTGGAGAGGAGGCAAGAGAGAGTTTATTGCCGGGGATGTTACATTTATAGGGTTTAGGAGGATTCACAGAGTAACCAATTAGAAGTCTCAAGGGGCTTACAGGAACACCCAATCACAGGATGGGGTTAACAAGGTCCAATGGGAAACACCTCAGGACACCTTTCCCAGGACATTCCTGCATGGGAGATAACCTGTCGTGGGGGGTGTTGGGAAGAAGAAACACATTTTTGCAAAGAGACCACAAAACGCCATTTTAAGACATGTTTAAACAAGTTTCTCATCAGATTTAGTGCTACATGTACCAATTCTAATAGCTGTGGTATTGAACTTTTAGCAGAATTCATATTCAGTTGAGCATCTAAGCTCACAATAGCCAGCAAGCTAAAAAAGCCATTTCTAAATACTGAGAAACAGTCTCTTATGCTAAGCCAAATTCAGTATTCAGTATTCAGTATGGTTGTTAGCTGCCAAAACCACTTGTCACTTACCCATATTAGCATGGAAGTAGTGATGCCACATATTTACTTAACCCTGTAATGGTTATATGGGAGGGGAAAACCCAGAGGAGACTCAGATTCAGTTCTGTTCCTTACCTGAATTAGACCCACATCTCCCTCAGCACAATAAGAAATTATATCATGTGGAAGTCTCCTGATCTCTTCCGGTATATTTTAGATAAAATACTTATATAATTATTGGATCAGAATTAATGTTTCAAGTCATCTATTTATGCTTAGAGTTACTCATATAGCTCACCAGGGTTATACGGAAATTTGGAGTATATGAAATCTGAACGTGCAAGCTTCATAGTCAGAACTCAAGTATCTGTGTGGTTTTTGTATGCGCTAAAGTTCCAGTTGTTATGTCAAAGGTCCCAAATATCTTGTCCTGAGTACAGGTAACTTTTGGGTTGGGTTCATAATTTTTTGGAATCTGCAGGAATTTTATGCCTTGCTGATAACAGCTGAACGTCTCACAGCCATTTTCTGAAACAGAAGACAACACACAACACAGAATTTTCTGTACAATACAGAAGCTTAGCACATGCTGTTTACAGTTTTACACAACCTTCAGTATCATAAGGCCCCAGCGAATGATGCATGCTTTAGAAGCTCTGAGAATTTCTACAACTTTGTGGTTTTAAGTGGTCTGTGATTGTCCTGCTGTGAAATTACAGAAACAGCATACTTTGTAGCAAGCTCCATTTTAAGTTTTTCCCCTTCCACTTGTAAAGGGAACCAAATAACACTTCATTTATTGTCTACTGAATTAAACAGTCATAGAATTACTATAGTGTTCCCAGTGACTTCCATGTTACTGTCTACAAGCTGATAAAACTGAAATCTTCTCATAATGTCCTGCTGGGAGAGAGGGTTGGGGTTTGTGTTGATCTGAGCATTTTCTATACCTCCTATACTTTCTTGCTTGCTTTTTGTTCAACCAACAATCTTTTGTGCTGCATGACCACTTCCTATAAGAAAAGCAGAAAATCTAATTTTAAGTGTTCACTTAAATGTGGGAATGATAGACTCAATAAAATAGACCTGCTCAGATATTTCAGTGTACTGTACAGGCCTTGATGTTAAACCCTTATGTCTCATCTCAGACATTTACTTTAGTCAAGTTATTGGCAGTTTTGCCAATAAAATTTTTTTCAACAAAATGTTGAGATTTATCTTGACATTAGAAAACAGAAAATGTGCTTGCAGACCTACAGCACGTGTGCCATGTAGAGAGGTTGAGACATCATACTCTGACAAAGAGAAGGTTAAGGAGCAACCTAATACTAGCCTACAACTTTCTGAAGCAGATACAAAATTGTAGAGACAAACTCCTCAGCTGTGGCAAATGGCACAAGAGGCAATAGTCAGGTTGGACATCAGAATAAACAGTAACAGGTTGCCCATGAATGATGTGGATGTACTAGGAAGTTTCCAAGACTTGGCTAGACAAACCCATGGCTGACATAACTCAGTGCTGGGGATAGTAAGGCTCTGACGGGGTGGCTGGACAAGCGTCCCTCTGATGTTCCTTCCAAACAACATTTCTCTGACTCTGTGATGCAATTCTGTCATTCTCCCTTCTTAAGTCAGTGGAAATGCATGTGCAAAAGTTTTGTGGGTTTTTTTCCTAAAAGTCGGTAACTATGCTAATTGTTAAAATAGTTTAGCAGAACTATATATTTTTTCTGCAAAAAGTAAGCATGAAAGTAAGATGAAGGGCAACAAGGACTCTTGTACAATAAAGCTGTACAATAAAAAGTACTGCTGCAGACAGAGAGAACACTGCAACGAAAACGTGTTCTGAGTGTCCCTCCTTTTTTGCATCCACTTCCCCCAACCATATAATGTAATATTTTACTGTTAGCATAGAGGAACTACCTGCAACTATGCATCCAGGGGTAGCCCAGTGCTTAATGGTCAGTCACTGAGTCCACACTGCCACAAGCAGTCTGTGGGCTGTACAGAGAAGGTGTGCATATGGTGCAGTGTTCTTCAGATTCATAGGAAGAATGAAATGAATCCTATGGGAATAAATCAAGTTGAAATTCACCAAGACAGCAAAAATCATTAGCCTAAATAATTAATTTTTCCTTGGACAAAATGTAGCATCAGTGCAATGTAGTTTGTGCATTAAACATTCCTTGGGATAGTGATTTTACAGGCATGATTTATGGGATCAGTAAGCAAAGGTTACCTGCTATGCTTGTAAATCTTTACATTGGATTGATAGTTTACGAAAATAGCTTTAAAAGTAAATAAGGGCGTACTTCATGATTCCCTTAGGGATATGTATGGACTTGCTGAAGAGAAGACACCTCCAAGAGACCTTTCAGAGCTTTAGCAAGGAAAAGCTTTTGGATTCAAGTAGAGTTCTTCGGTGGATAAATATATATCTACTGCTCTAAATATGCATCTCTTCATGAGATGCATATGAGTACTGAATAATGAATTCTGCCCAAGCCTCGAGCTTTGTTGGACTTTTCCCTAAATATTTCTGATGAATGGGTAATGCTGCACTAAAGACATAGATTAGAAACTGACTGATCCCCTTCACAATAGTGACCTCAATTTTGTAGATGCTAAGAATCACAAACCAATCAAGCAGTCTCCTTCTTTTCATTAGAGACAAGCATTTATTTTACTTCTGATTTGTATTTATTTCTTCCCTGGGATCTTTTTAGATTATAACACCAAATAAAACAATTTTCCCTAAGGTATATTGTGATTTCTCAGCTTCTGAAGCGAGAAAGGTGTAGAGGAGGCTATGGTATGAGTTAATTTATTTACAAGTACCTGTTTCTACTGATTAATGTTTGTCTGAACCAGAAGGAGCTGGCTTTCAAGTTTAGTCATTAAAAATGTGAAAGCAATTTTGCTAACACAAACTTTTCTTTCTCAGGCATGTCACAGCTATTTCAAACTGTGAAAAAAAAAAAAAGGAGAAAAATAGAAATTAGAAAACTGTCCATTTTTCTGTCCTTAAACCTAAACCCTGCTGTTGACCAGCCATATGGACAGACATCTCAGGTCTTGATATTCCTACAATCCACCCACTGATATTTGCCAATGATCCAAGTCTGCTATAGTGCAACTCAGAGTAAAATCCAATCTTTTTTTGCACTAGTTTCCCATCCTGAGCACTAGAATGGTGTTTAGTATCATTCTTGGAGGGAAGAGTAATTCCCCTTACTGCAGGAACTTGTGGATGAAATCACAGAATCACAGAATCATAGAAATTGTACATTCTGCACTAGCGTGGAGGACAGCCTACTCGATCAATGCTCCCCATGCTCCCCATTTAAAATTACAAGTTGGATTGACAGACATTATAGATGGTATGGCTTGACCAGAGTTACTCAAATACACTGATTTACATATAATGAGAATGCAGCTGTAAGAACATACGGTGAGGGAGGCATTGCTACCATACACTTCTGTTGTAAATGTATATCGCACAATAAAATATAAGTGTATAATGAACAATACGAAATGATCTGATATCTGGGGGCCCAGCCTGGCCATGGTTGTCCTTCCAGGACTCCCTGAACTGACTCTGTTTCTACTCCTGTAAAACCAATCCATTTAACAATAGCTGGGACTGTGGTGCCTAAATGGTTTCCCAGTGCCACTCACCAGAGGTGAGAAGGAGAAGAGATGGGTGATGCCCACCATGCTTCCTTGCTTCAGGATCTACTACTGGCACATCACTCCCCAGGATAATGCAGGACCCTGTGAAGAACTTCTTTTTGGGGGAGATTAAGATACAGGGAAGGGGATCAGTGAACCTAAGATGGACAGTGGATAGGAGCAGTGTAGTGACAGAGCAGGAAGATAAAGGACTGCGGAAGAAGAGAGGGAGTGGCAAAAAAAAATTATTCCATTTCTTATGCATCGAGCAATTTTCGACTCTAGGGTGCCCACCTCCCCATTAGTTCACCTGAATGTCTAGATCCAATCAGCCAAGGTACAAAACTTTGGCTTAGATGGTTGTGGAAATTCAGTGTTGTGAGAAAGAACTGTGAGGAAGTGTGTAGCAGAATCATAAGGAAAAATACAGAAACACAACATTCTAAGGGGAAACACAAGGAGTTGGAGGACAGCAACTGGAGACTGAGAAAGACCATCCAGCAAAAGCTCTTTGGGTGTCTCCTTGGCATTGCCTAGCGGCTCACTGAAGCCCTTAGACATCTCTTACATCCATTAGACAGTGAAGTGATTGCTTTATACATTGAAACCAGACATATTTCGATCACAGCATCTCCTTGTGCATGCCTAATTGTGTCTGAACAGCATGACAGGGTTACAAGAGCATCATAAGTCATCACAAGTAGAAAAATCCTAAGGACTGGTCCCAGCCTATCCACCAACCAGACTGATTAGCGAGAGATAAAAAGAGAGACAAATCTCCCTTTGTTCCTTGTGCACTTTTCCAAAAGTTTTAATAATATTGGGATATGTGCTGATATCTATTATATTCCACTTGATATACAGTTTATGAACAGTTGAAATGGTATCCACCATCACTATCAGGAACTTATATGTTCTCAGTTTTCATGGTGAACAATAACAGCTCTACCCTAACACCAGTGAATCTAGTGAAAGGATTTCTATTGACTTGAATGGAGGCTGGAGCAGTATCCAAATGAGGTAGAAAATTATTTTCTCTGTTTAATGTTTATTAGAAATTAATCTAAAGAACAGTTGACTTTAAAAGAAAATAATGAAAATAGTTCATTCAGTCTAATTTCCCTGATGATATAGAAATATTTGTCTAGGATCAGACTAATTAGTATGAAAGAAACATTTGGATAGACTGAAAATCTTATTTTTCCTTTTCCTTGCTATTTGATTTCAGTTCAAATTTCTTAATAATGGAATGCAACTTTATAAAACGCCCACTGCATGCAAAAAGGGATAAGCAAAATAATACAAGCATTTCTGTGATGAAGGCATTGACCCAGTTCTTTGTGTTTGTATTCAAAAGTATAAAGAATAGTGCAATTTCCTCTTCTCCATACTTCTAACTAACACAAAGCTATGCAATGCTTTTTCAGTGATCCAAGCTAACTGAAATCTGAGACATGGTAGCTTAAGTTAGCTTTGAACTCCTGAAATTGGAAACAGCCTACTCCTGTAATTTGATTCTTTCTGGACATCTTATCTACTTGTGCCTATGCCTACACCAAATTTGCTATTTACTAGTGATTTATTTGTAAATCTGGTCCACTTAAGCACATCCTAGGACATAATGAGGTAAAACAGAAAAATATCATCTAGTTCTCCAAAAGTTTTATGAATGTTGAGTCCAAACTTTCCCTGAAATTTCCAACACTTAGGTTGTATTTCTGTTCATTCAGATGGAATGGGAATTTGTATCTCTGTTTTGAACAAATACCATCAAAAAGATCACTTGTGCAACTATTTGCTAAAATGGAATACACCCTATCAAGGACAAAGTACTTACCATAAATAGTCAGTAATAAACAGAATATCAAGAGCATGTGATGGATTAACTATTGTAAAGAATTACTGCTGACCATGCACATTGTCTTGTCACACTGGACTGCAGGATATATATATTAATGGAGTTTACTGCAAAAACATTTCTGGATCTCATTGGACTGATTACTACCTACAGAAATAGACTGAACAACAGAGTTACAGATATTTGATTATTTAAAACACTACAGACTATTTATAAAATGAAGCCCTTCATTGAACTAGCTCACAAGTAGGTTTAGATCTGGCACAAATACCTCTACTGCTCTCAGCTGCCTCACACAGGATGCATTCCTCATGTCAATAAACTGTGTAATTATTTCCCAATGCTGCTGTAGTTTATGCCTCCCATATTTTAAAACCAAGACTCCTAAGCAAGGAATGGGAGTGGTCACATTTGTTCATACCTATAGTGGCCTTGGGACATCTATGTTTTCCACTCTTCAGCTTGCTCCCTGAAGGTTTTAATGAGGATCATCAAAGGAAGAGAGACAGACACTCTGCCTGAGATCTTTAATTTTTTCCCCTCCCCACACTAGGAAGTTGTGATCACTGGGAAGAAGTGAGGTGTACAGTGACAGGGAAAAATCAGGGAAAAGGCAGAGGAGGAGAAGAACATGGCAAGCAGTAGAGCATCTTGCTGGCTGGAGGCTGCCTGCCTGGCTCCACTAGATTATATCATTCACATAGTCCATCATTGGTCATTAGGGCCATCCCATCTGATATGAAGTCCACTGGGTTTAAAGACTGAAGACATGCATATGGGGGGATCTTGTGTCCCAATTAAAAGAAAACTTACTAATTTGGGAAAGGACTATTTTGTGACTTGCCTTTAGGCTCCATCATCTGAGTGTCTGTTAGTTTTTAAGGAATTAAGCTTTCCTCGCAGCATCTTTATGAATTGTGAAAGTATCATTATCTTCACTGAGAAGTCTCAGGGCCAGATGCTGAAAGACGCCTGCATCTAAAGCAATATGGGACATGTCACTAAGCCCCTTTAGGATTCAAAGCCCAAGTTATTGCCCAAGTTGTCTGATAGGAAATCCAGCAAAGTGCCCGAGCTGAATTCATGTGGACCAAGTTTCAATCCAGTGTATTAACCACAATTCCTTTTTTTAACAGGCAAAACCTTATCCCCTTAACTCCTTGAGCTGCTTGAAAAATTTTGGTAAACACTTGTAAACAATTTATGCACCAACTGATGCTTTTAGCTTCACATTGTCTGGTTCATTCACATCTGAATGCAGGACATTGCATGCATAGGGATTTGTAGGCACCAAGGATATTATAACTGTTGCCATGTATTGTATTTGCATTTCTACTTTCCTTAAATGTGCAACACTGTTTTGTTAAGCAATCAGAATGCAAATACCCCTGGCACAGCTAGAAAACATTCAAGTGCCCAAGTACACAAACTATGCAATAAAGTACACAAAGCCCAACAAGATCATTAGTACCATACTGCAGTGATTACAGAGTAAAGTGCCTTCTGTGGTGCACTAGTTAGGCTATACAGAGGGAAAGCTTTGCAGTGTTTTAATGCAATGATATTTTTAATGCAATTGTGTGCTGCTACAGCAGTCATATTTCACCAGCATAAGCTGCTTTGGGAAAGAGACATTATTCGCTGCTTGTACATTGCCTAGGTATCATTCTTGATTAGCCATTAGGCACTGCATAGCAATGATGAGGATGATGATAATAATTATAAGAATTATGGTCTTTTGTCAGATGAAAGCCCCACCTAGCTCTGTGTTTGTTTTCTGATAGTGGTTAGAATTGCATTTTTAAGCAAAAAACATGAGGAACCAGGCATGTATAGAGTGACTCTTTCCCTGGTATGGCTTTTGAGTTTCCAGCAATGAGCGGTAAGGATGTAAAATCTGGAACTAGACTGTAGAGGTCCTCCAGCAGTTTGTTTTGCACCATGGTCTCCCTTGTAACTTAATGACTCAAAATCAGATAACTAGCAGTCTATCATTAGTGAACCTACCTTCAGCATCCCTGCCAGTACATACATACATACACACACACACATGCACAGAAAGAACAAACATACACTGTCCAGTATATGCCACCTACCATTAAAGGAAGATGTAGATCTTCAGTATAGTTGTCTGAAAGATCTACCGAGAGAAAAGTTAAAGTTTTAAAGGAAAAGTCACCCTATCATATCACGGTGTAAAAAACTAAGTCAAACCTTCTTTGAGACAGGGGATGGACTAAATGGTCTCCCAGTGTTCTTTCCTGCAGTGATTTTTTCATGAATCTGTGATTATTCAGCTGCTATAACAGTTAGAAAGTTTTAATTGGTCTGAAATAGGAAAATGCCTTTCATTCTGCTTGATCATG